ACACACACACACACATATACACACACAAAACAGACATATATGCACACTTATATATGCATACACACACACACACACACACACACATATATTAATATTTTTAACGGCTTCTTTAATAGGAATGTGTACATATATTCGTAAGTATGTGTAAAAATATAATATGTATATGTATCTGTGTATACACACACATACATACACACATATGTATATGCATACATATAGTAATATTTTTAATGGCTTCTTTAATAAGAATGTATGTATATTATACACACACACACAGACATATACTGATATTTTTGATGGCTTCTTTGATAGGAACCGACAGTGGGATCGGCCATGAGCTGGCCAAGTACCTTGACAGTTTAGGGTTCACTGTCTTTGCCGGCGTCTTAAGTGCAACGGGGCCCGGGGCCAAAAGTCTGAAGGAGACCTGCTCCGAAAGGCTTTCAATCCTGCAATTGGACATCACCAGTTCTGCGCAAATCAAGGAGGCTTATCACGAAATAAGACGGAAGTTGCAACAGGAAGGTATGGCTTGTTTGCCTGATCCCACCCTCTGTGATCCCTGTCCTTGCCGAAGTGACCTTTTTTATTTTTTGCAAAGATCCAGAAAGGAAGCTTGTTGATATTGGCCTGAGCAGCCCAATCGCCTTTCAAAATCAGAGGCTGACATCAATGTTTACCTCCTTTGAGTGGCTGATGAAATGAGCAGAATTGAGATAAAAGATCTACCTTAGTGCAGTTGCATGTGGTCAACTCAACGGTGTGGCCCCTCTGTTGACTGTTTGTCCCACGTCTGCAATCTAGGTAATGAAAAACCTTGCTGGCCACCCATGGTGATCCATTAAAGATTGTCAGATCTCAACACTGTGGCATACAAATGCTGCTATGAAAAAAATCAAATCAAATCAATGGTCTATTTAATTTCTGAAATACAATCAACCCTACTCATCAGATATGAGGTTTTGTGGGTAAAGACCTCGTTTCCCTCCCCTTTCCTTCCATCTCAGAAAGGCTCTGTTGTTTACAAGTCTTTGAGCTCTGTCTGTTGGTAACCCTTTACGTTCTGGAGGGTTATTGATTATTAACAGTTTTTAGGACAATCACATTGTAATATTCATTCCTCTTGGCTTTAAACGACAAACAGTTCATTTGGTTATTGGAAAATCTAAAGTTGCTACTTTTCAGAAACTCTGAGATGTCTGATTTTCTTCATTTGCTTTAAAAAGTAAGCAAAAGAGAAGAGTTTGGTAAGATATATATGCAAAGGAAGGAAGGGAAGGAAGGAAGGTAGAAAGGAAGGAAGGAAAGAAAAACAGAGAGGGAAAGAAGGAAGAAAGGAAGGAAAAATGAATGGAGGAAGGGAGGGAGGGAAGAAAGAAAGAAAGGAAGGAAGGAAAAACAGATGGGGAAGAAAGGAAGGAAAAACAGTGAGGGAGGGAGGGAAGGGAGGGAGGGAGGAAGGAAGGAAGGAAGGAAGGAAGGAAGGAAGGAAGGAAGGAAAAACAAGGAAGGAAGGAAGGAAGGAAGGAAGGAAAAACGGAAGGAAGGAAGGAAGGAAAAACAGACAAGGAAGGAAGGAAGGAAGGAAAAATGAATGGAGGAAGGGAGGGAGGGAAGAAAGAAAGAAAGGAAGGAAAAACAGATGGGAAAGAAAGGAAGGAAAAACAGTGAGGGAGGGAGGGAAGGGAGGGAGGAAGGAAGGAAGGAAGGAAGGAAGGAAAAACAAGGAAGGAAGGAAGGAAGGAAGGAAGGAAGGAAGGAAGGAAGGAAAAACAGATGGGGGAAGAAAGGAAGGAAAAACAGACAAGGAAGGAAGGAAGGAAAAATGGAGGGAGGGAGGGAAGAAAGGAAGGAAAAACAGACAGGAAGGGAAGGAAAAACAAAGGGAGGGAGGGAAGGAAGAAATGAAAGAAGGAAAAACAGACAAGGAAGGAAGGAAGGAAAAATGGGGAAGGAAGGAAGGTAAAATGGAGGGAGGGAAGGGAGGGAGGAAAGAAGGAAGGGAAAACAGGAAGGAGGGAGGGAGGGAAGGAAGGAAAGGAAAGGTTCTGGGATTGCTTCCTGCCACAGGAATTCATTACTTCACTTGTTGGCTTTTCCTTTCTCCTCGCCAGAGCTTTGGGCTGTTATCAACAATGCAGGAATCCTGGGGTTCATAGCAGACGGAGAACTGCTCCCCATGAGTTCTTACAAGCAGTGCATGGATGTAAATTTCTTTGGGCCTGTTGAAATATCCAAAATGTTCTTACCATTGCTCCGGAAATCCAAGGGAAGGATTATTAACGTCTCGAGCCTGGCAGGTGAGTTATGTTTTCCAGCAAGTTGTAAATTGATACCTGCGTTGGATTTTGCTCCCTTCAAGGCCACTTTTCTGAACCTTTGGAGCTGCCTTGTGGGAGGTCTCCAAATGAATCAGGAATCGAATGATCAGATGGCAGGAAAAAGCAAATACGTCAGTGGTAAACAATTGAGCTATCTAGCTGTTCAAGATGATTTAGTTTGGCACCTTATAGATAGGACACTATCACACTTCTAATCTTGAAGTATTTATAGCCACGCCAAGGCCACAGATGCAGGGAAAATGTGGACTGGCCTATTCTGTGTGTGTGTGTGTGTGTGTGTGTGTGTGTGTGTGCACGCTTGTCTGTGTGTGTTTTGCTACTATGCAAACCAACGGCTCGCTTATCTTTCGAAATTTGTACTTCTCCGAGTATTGCTAAGGCAAAAATAAAACACGTATTGAAGAAAGGCATGCATGTTTATTTACTTTGTTGCAAAAATAATGTACAGAATTGCATTTTATTGGCGTTAACTTCCCTTGTGATTTCCCATGGATTCTAATAAACACAAGGCAGCCTTCGGATCAAATCTATCAATTAAAATGGGACCTTTTTTTTATCCCTTGTCTATTAAATCTCATCTTCAGAAAGTCCCAAACAAAAGATTGGATAATGCAATGAAATATGATGTAATGTTCTCATTCCCTGCACTGTGAAAAGTGCTTCTTAGAGGAGGAACTTGAATTGCTTGGGGCTTTTTTGTCTGGTAACTAAAGATATTTTTTTTAAGTCCAACTAGCAGAGTCTCAGACAGTTGGGATGTATTAAAAAATGAGGCAATAGCAAACTCATATGTGACACACACACACACACACACATAAGATATATGTAAAGGTTATATATATATTTTTGGCCATATATATATATATATATATATATATATATATATATATCTCCTTTAAGAAAAAATAAGAGGAGAAGAAAAAACAAGACAAGCATTTCAGAACTATATTTAGCCAATAAGAACTTAGACCTTTTACTAGTTTCTGATAAGAATTTTGTATTTAATATTGGCTTAGTGTTTTCCTTAAGCTTTTAGTTCTCCATCCATGTGTCACTGTTTTGACTTGTCTCGCAGGAGGAATCCCAATGCCACGGTTTGCTGCCTATGGTGCCTCCAAGGCAGCCCTCTCCATGTTTTCTGGCGTTATGAGGCAGGAGCTGTCCATGTGGGGCATCAAAGTTGCTGTTCTCCACCCATCAGGCTTCAAAACATGTAAGTTCTCCTCCATCAGGCTTCAACACACATAAGTCATGAGATTTCACTCCATCTTTCTCCCAACTCATGAGAAAATACGCCTCCAGAAGAACCAGGGTTCTCAATCCAACATCAGAAATTGTCCATCAGTCATCTAGCCAAGGATTGCACATGGTTTTGTTTTTTAAGATCTGAGATTCAGTTTGTCTCAGCCCCAAGATGCCCACTGTATTCTTTCTAAGAGTTTGTAAACTGTCTTTTCCCAAGGAAAGACTTGAATTATTTATTCTTTCATAGTTCAGGTCTACCAGCCACTCTTTTCAGATTCATAAAGACTTCTGGGAGCTTTCTCTGATGAGTTTCCTGGAAAGTCCTGGCTGTCCAATTTTGGCATCATGTAGCTGAGCCAATGCTTTCATAGGAAGATGGTTTTGAGACATTTAACTTGATCCCCAGAATTCTTCTTCTTCATTGATATATCCCAAGCCAACCTATGGAAGAAACCTGAACAGAGTAGGTTCTCCTGCCGTCGCCTCCTCTCTATTTTTCCTTATTGGATTTAGAATTAGAATACTTTATTTGCCCAAGTATGATTAGACACACAAGGAATTTGTCTCCGGTGCAGAAGCTCTCAGCATACATAAAAAGCCACAGAATAATCATAATAATACCAATAAAAAGACAATAAGAGAGATAATAATAATACTAAAGCCATACTACATGGGTAAATAGGCAGCACCATGAGAATGAGGCGTTAAGCAGAAGGAAGGCCTGACAGGCAAAAACGGTCCTTGTGCCTAGTGGTTTTGGCATGCAATGCCCTACAGTGCCATCCCAAGGAGAGAAATTAAAACAGTTTATGTCCAGGATGTAAGGGGTCTGTAGATATTTTCCAAGCTCTCCTTCTGACCTGTGCAATATACAGGCCTTCTCTGGAAGGCAGACTGGATTTCAATTGTTCCTTCCACAATCTTAACTATCCATTGGGAATCTTTCATAAGAATAACTTCTGAGGAGAAATCAAAGAGGTTAGACATTCCCCCCAAAAATGAATTTGTTGGTTTTCTAGCAATCGGGGGGAACCCTGAAGACTGGGAAAAGGAAGAACAGATGATTCTGGGCAGCCTAGCTCCAGATGTGAAGAACGATTATGGCGAGGATTACATCCATAATCTGAGGATGTTCCTCGGTGAGATGTCTTCAGTTTGCTCATCTGATCTCTCACCCGTCTTCTCCGATGTTCTGCATGCTTTACTGGCTGAGCGACCAAAAGGTTTATACACTCCAGGCAAGAATAGCTACACCTTTCTTCTTGTGTTCTGTTATTTTCCTCTCTGGTTTTATGACTTTTTCATGAGCAAAATAATGGGTAACCCTCACATGCCTCATGCTCTCCGAACGGCAGAGCGAAAGAAACAGGTCATACATTGAGAGTAAGAAGTCTAGGCATCCTTCAAAAAATGGACGTCGGAAGTCCCTCGCATTTTTTATGGTTCATGCCCTTTATTTGATAAGTTATTCAGCTTTACACAATTACACAACCTAAGAAACCAGTAAACAATAGATGGAGATATGAATATAAGTGTAGATTTTAGAATGGTACAGAAGGAAGTTTTAACATTATCATAGTGAACATCTCATTGATAATGCCTTTTAAGGTTCACCTTTGTTTTGAAATGGAGATTAACTTTTTCTGGAATGGTATTTTGTGTTTTGGGGTAGTGCTGAAAAAAAAAAATCTTCCCTTTTCCAAAGATTCATATCTATTTTTTTCCTGATCTTTTGTTCGACCTCATAAATATATATTTCCAGCCATGATTTTGCTCAGGAGTATATAAAAGAAAAATAAAATTGTACTCACCTGAAATCTTCTGAAAACTTTAGGGGAAGAATGTGAATGGATTCTATGCATATATGTATAAATTTGCATCATCTTGTTGCATTTTAAGACATAACGGGGCGTTTGTCCTTTGGGTCAATTCAACCTTAAGGCGCTATCCTGGATCAACCTGAGCTGAGCTGACATCTGACCTGGTTCCTAAATTACTTGACGGAATCGCCAAATCAAAAATGAAAAAAAAAACCCTAAGGGATCATAAAAGTTTGTCATTAACAGTAATAGCAGCCATAGCCAAAGGTTATACTATGCTTGGGCATGTTCCAAGACTCCAGTGCCAAGGAGGAGGATAAGAAAATTGTGCCCAGACAACACGCTGTTCAGTTAGACATGGAATTTTTTTATGTTCTTGAAAAGGAAAATGTATCAATAAAATATATATTCAAAAAAGAAAGAAAGAAAAGAACAAGAGAAAAAAGAAAAAAAAAGAGAGACATAGACCTACTTATTTTGTCCAAATAGTGGTTAGTAGAAATGGGTTTCCTGTAGAGGAAAAGGAACTCCTGATCCGATTTCTGCAAGGAGATGGGGCTTGATCAAATTCCTAAGAGCTCCTCCTGCAGTTATTCATCTATTTCTTGCAACCCCTGGAATCTCCTGAAGTCAGGGGCCCGAGGTCTGGTGAAAGTGCCTAAACATTGGTTATGTGAGTTCCTACAGATTTCTGAGCCAAAGAGAGAGAAAGAGAGGGAGGGATGGAGGGAGGGAGGGAGGGAGGGACAGAGGGAGGGAGAGGAAGAGGGAGGGAGAGGGAGAGGGAGGGAGGGAGGAAGGGAGAGAGAGAGAGAGAGAGAGAGAGAGAGAGAGAGAGAGAATTGGGACAAGCTGTTGAATATACCTGAGAAGGAAGGAAGGAAGGAAGGAAGGAAGGAAGGAAGGAAGGAAGGAAG